AGTAGCTGGGACTACAGGCATGCGCCACCATGCCCGGCTAATTTTTTATATATATATCAGTTGGCCAATTAAATTCTTTCTATTTATAGTAGAGACGGGGTCTCGCTCTTGCTCAGGCTGGTTTTGAACTCCTGACCTTGAGCAATCCGCCCACCTCGGCCTCCCAAGAGCTAGGATTACAGGCGTGAGCCACCGCGCCCGGCCTCTTCCAAATTCTTTATTCAGCAACTTCAGTAACTCTGGAAGTCCAGGGGCTTCCTAAGATAGTACTGAAATGAGAAAGCAATGGTAACTAGGATCTATCTCCTAAATGCCAAAAAACCAGGATTGAGACAGTGGAGAAAAATGGCAAAGTCTGGTAAATCTTCAAAACTATGGGATATTAATAGCCTTCTCTTCCCAACCTAAGGGAAGAACTACTAACATTTTTTAAATGCCTACTATGCCCAGGTACTTAGTTTGTAATTTTGTTTGAGTTTCATCACAATCCTATGGGATAGGTGGTATTATCATTAATTTTAGATAAAAAATAATGTAACTTGCCCAAGGATCCAGCCAATAAGTGGGACTCTCCCCCATCCCCATCTATAATGATAGCAGCCTACTTTTCAGTATACTGCAGCCACTGTACAGCCTAGGAAGACTGCTTTATTTACTGTAAGAAGAAGACATCAATGGCTAGGGCCTCATTGCAGCACCACCACTGAATCCAGCTGCAAAGAAAACAAGAAAACACGGAAAAGGAGCTATTGTTTCCTGTTTTCCCAAGGGGACTCCAGCCCAAGCCAAGGAGGCATTCAAAGTCAGGCAGGCGAGAGAGACTCAGGGTACCTATGAACCTTGTAACCTGTGTTTTTTCCTACCGATTAAGATCATGTTTTTCAATGCTTTTGATTTTTTAAGATCACAGCAGCCAAGTCTTTTTATAACAACACAATCTAGGGCTTGGGTCCCAAAAGTTCAATATGCTTTGTCCTGTCAGATTATCTGTTTCCTCTTCAATTTATTTGTAATGTAAACCTCCCCCCATTTCTGCTGTGATTCTGGACTGTGCCCAGCCTCCAGCCTGCACCAGCTGGCTTGTCAACACATTTCTACAGGCAATGAGGAGGGTCACAATTTTAACAAAAACTTAAACACCTCAAACAAAACAAGCCAGCCTCCCTCCCAACCCCCCCTTTCCCAGCAGCTTATTAAAACTAACTTGAAGTCAGACCCGTGAGCAAATGTGCCTTTTCCAAATTAGTGGCCCCAAGACAGACGAAATGGTCAGGCATTTGCCTTTTAGGGTCGCCCTAGGAAGAGCTAACAAAAGGGGTGACAGCCTCTAAACAGCTGCTTGAGGAGGAGGACATCTGCCTCGGTCCCACAGCCATTCAGTGCTCAGCCTTGCCTCGAGAAAGGCATGTGCCACAGGGGAGCAATAGTTCTGAGGCAGCCAGTTGTTATATGGCTTTTGTCTTAACGAAGCCACCCATTACTGCACAGCCATAACTCTCGGGAAGCCAGCTGCCAGGGCTGTGGCGCAGGCCCCTCTGGGTGGGAGGCAAGGGGAGAAAAAAAAGTGTTTGGCCAAAATTCCCTTTTAGACACCTGAGCCTGGCTTTGTAATTGGACAGTTTTGCGTCTTCTCCCCCAATCCTGTCTTCCCTGGGGAGACCCCTGGGGCCCTTCTTGCTCTCCACCCTTGGAGGGGGCTCAGGGACATCTCAGGATTCTGATGATTGCTTGCTCTGCGACTCCCTGCGTGCGCGGCTGGGCTCGGCTGCGCTGCGGCTGGCTGGCGTTTGGCGCTCTCATCCAGCGCTTCGCTTTGAAATCTACCCCCTCCTTTTTTTTTTTTTTTTTTAAACCAGGTATGATGATGTCAAACGTGATGCTGATGCTACAGTTACAGACACAGCCCCTGCTGGCGCAGCCTCTCTGATTCTCTCTCCCTCTCCGCGTCCAGCGCTGGGCTTTTTCAGACAAGTGCATCTCCTAACCAGGTCACATTTCAGCCGCGACCCACCAGCCGTCAGTCACTGGAGACAGACCGCAGGAGGAGGGCTGAGGAAGACGGCAGCGTCTGCTTCGCCAACAGCGGGGTGGCAGGAAGGACATTAAAATATTGCAGAAGTCGAAACCTTCCAGGGCCAATCCAGACCACGATGCGCGCCCCGGGCTGCGGGCGGCTGGCGCTGCCGCTGCTGCTCCTCGCCGCAGCCGCCCTGGCTGAAGGCGACGCCAAAGGGCACAAGGAGGGCGAGACCCCCGGCAATTTCATGGAGGACGAGCAATGGCTGTCGTCCATCTCTCAGTACAGCGGCAAGATCAAGCACTGGAACCGCTTCCGAGACGTGAGTGCGCAGGGCCGCCGGGGCAGAGGGCCCGGGGCGCGGGCTTGGGGAGGGAGCGCGGGGTCTGCGGGGAGCGGCCGCTGCACGTCGCAGCCCGAGGCTGTCGCAGCCCAGCCCGCTAATTGCAAGGAGAGTAAACATCGAGAGTCACAGCCCGGCGCCCCTTCCCCGGGTCCCGGCGGCCTTGGGACCCCCGGCCCCGCACCTCCCCCGGGCGAGGAGATGCTCCGGGGGCGCCCGCGACAGGTCTCCTCTTTGGGCCGGGCGCGGAGAGGGGGTGCGGGTGCTGGGCGGGGAGCCCGGGCCCTGCTGCGGCTGGCCCCGACCTGCTCCCCCCCTCCCCAGTGTGAGCCCAGCGGGCGGATGCTGCAGGCTGCACAGATGGGCACTGCAGAACCCGCAGGTCTGGGTGGGGCCGGCGGGGAAGGTAGTGTCGCCCGCGCGGGTGCCCTCCGTTCCCACCTTGGGCTTGGAGGGAGGGGGACCGTGGCCGGGGCTTTGAGGTGGGGGTTCCCAGCCACCCTCCCAAGGAGAGACAGTGGTAGGCGTGTTCCTAATGGGGGTCGGGCGACGGCGGCGAAAATGCCCGAGGCCACCTCCCGGTGGCCGCTAGAGCCAGGTCCGGGGTCCCCATGCAGAGGGGCGTGCGCACGAACCGAGCCTGGTTTTCCTGGTCCAACCTTTCAGGGGGGGAGCCCAGTCCAGAGCGAGGGGAGAGGCTGGGAACCGGAGGCAAGACCACCGGCCCCGTGGGCTTGAGCAGCAGAGCCCAGAAGCTGGGTCTGGGGTCCCCTGGCGGACGCCCGCCCGAGCCGGGGCTTAACCTTGGGCGGAACTTCGGGGGTGGGGGGCGGGGAGGCGGCTGCGGACGAGCCGGCGTCGCTGCAGCACTTTGTTTACCGGCACCTGTAGATCAGAGGGGAAATCGGAGGCGGCGTTCCCAGCAGGGCCCGCTGCGTCCTCCCGGCGGGGAGTGGGGGAGGGAGGGAGGGCGGGCGGAGGGCGTGGCTGGACCCTGAGAACCGAGGGGGGCGAGTGGGGGATGGTTCCGGATGTACCGAGGCAGACGCAAGCTGGTCCCCGCGACCTGGAGCTCACAGACACCCTGACCCCGGAAAGCCTCGTCTGCGACCCCACTTCTTACTCCTCAATCCCCAGATTCCTGATCGGACCCACCCGGTACAACACAGGCGGCACCATGACCTTTCCCGTTTTCTCTTCAACTGCGTGCATCCACAAGTTCCTTAGAAATTTATTTTAAAAGCACATGCTTCCTATGATATCCAGCCAAGTGATGGGAAGAGGCAGAAATAGGGGTGTTTTTGTTATCGTGAAACAAGTGACTGTGTCTCCAAAGTCAAATGGGCAGGTTGTCATTCACAGAGGGAAGGAGGAACTGCAGGCAGCCAGGCCCCCAGGCTGAGTGACCCGGGCCCCTCAGTGGGCTGCTGGTGTCCGTCTTTTTGCCCCACCCATGGCTGGTGCAGCCGGGGGAGCTGGAGCCCCAGCAAGGCCTTCCCGAGGCACCTGCAGGCCCAGCGCAGATTAGCTGCAGTCTCCTGCCGCTGCCGGGGCAGCAGCCCCGCCAGAGCAGAGAGGGGGCGGCAGCGGGCAGGCCCGTCCAGAATCCATGTGTCACTGGTCCAGGCCTCCCTCGGACTCACTGGCTGTTTGATCTGCCAACATGGTGAAGGTCAGAGGGAAAAGAAATGCTTAATCCGAACAGTAAAGGTTTAAAAATAAAGGATTCTCCCCCACCTCCTCCGTTCTCCCACCTGGTTCCAATAGCCTACTCTGTGGGTGAGAATAAATGACTTACTGCTTGACCCCCAGGCACAGGGCTGCCCACCTGTCTCCCTGTACTGGTGCCAACCACTTCCTCCTTTCTCCTCTGCTCATCAGAAGAAAGGCACTAGATTTGAATTCTGCAGGACTCCTCCCCCCACCCTTTAAGATTCATGGAAAGCTTTAGGGCATGTATTGGTTTTGGTGGCCTCAGGTTTTGTAGGGCCGATTTCCCCTAAGCCCCATTAAAGGCAGCCCCGGCTGCAGGAGGACAGGGGCAGGGAGAGAAGGAGGACAAAGAAGGCTGGGCAGGAGGGTCTGGCCCTGGGGATATGTTGGCATCTGCTGCAGAGAGGCAGGAAAGAGGCTGCCAGCTCAGAGCCACTGCATTGCATAACTCTAGGGGTGCCATGATGTGAATGGTGCCCCCTGGAGTTGTGCAGGGCATAGACTGTACATAGGGGCCCTGCCAGCACTGGGCACTTCTCATCCCTCCTCTGCCAGTAGAGGCCCTGCTTCCCATCCTGAGGCTGAAGGTCCTCCAGATGGACATAATAGCAAGGGGCTTTTTTTTCTTTTTAATAAAAGAAACATATTTTAATTATTTATTTATTTTTGAGACAGAGTATCGCTCTGTCGCCTGGGCTAGAGTGCCATGGTGTCAGCCTAGCTCACAGCAACCTCAAACTTCTGGGCTCAAGCGATGCTCCTGCCTCAGCCTCCCAAGTAGCTGGGACTACAGGTGCATGACACCATGCCCGGCTATTTTTAGTAGAGATGGTGCCTCGCTCTTGCTCAGGCTGGTCTTGAACTCCTGGCCTCAAGGGATCTTGAACTCCTGGCCGCTTCGGCCTCCCAGAATACTATGATGATAGGCGTGAGCCACCACGCCTGCCTTTATATATCCAACGGGCTTTATATATACATTTCCATATTTTTGAAAATATGGTCCTTGGCTCCTCGAAAGAGATATAGGAATGACTTCTGAATCCCTAAGGGCTTGCCAGCGTGAGCCAGGACATTATTATTCATCATCGATCACAAAACGGCACAGCCCCCCCCCCCCATTGCCTTGGTATCAGGGAAGCAGGCAGGAGGAGTGGGATATTCTCAGGGAAGGGGAGTGAAGGGGTCAATAGTGTGAGTCAGGGAAATGTCTCATCAAACGGCATTGGCATCAATGGAACTAAGCAGGGAAGTCAAGGGAATGGGGGGCGGGGTCAGGAGAACGAGAAAGAGGAAGGAAACTTGGGCGTTGTTCCGATTTGGATTGCTCGAGCTGGTTAGGAGGGAGTTCAGCTTGGCATTCTTTCTCTGAGCACCAGGATTATAGGGAAGGCAGGATTTACCAGTTGAGTAATCCTCCCTCCAGTGGGCACAGGCTCTCGCATCCTGTGCCTGGTGCCCTGCTGCCAGGGGGGAGGGAATACGTGGCAGAGAAGATGGGGAGGTGGTGGGCCCAGCCTGGCTCCCCGGCCTACAGAGCTAGCTGTGCGCACCTGCCCTGGGCAGTTCTGGTCTTTTCAGAGCCCTGATCCTCTGAATTCACTCCCTGCAAAACTGCGTGGAGTTTGACGGCAGGTCTTTGGAACAAAGCATCCAGGTGCCTCTCAGAGAGATGGACGCTTGAGAGGAGACAGGCCCATTACGCAGCGTTCTTCAGGGCAGGTTCCAAAGAGCTTGGCTGGGAAGAACTGACTGTTCTCTTTCTACTTGGCTCTTCTCTACTTTGTACTCCACTTCCATTAAATTTTAATCATGAGTGCCCGCACAGAGCTTGGCACCCGGGAGGCCCGCCGCTAATGTATGTCGAATCGCTGATTGCAGTGAGCACTGTGTGTGCACTGGCTCCTGTGCCTCTTAACAACCTATGAGACAGGTAGTGATACTTTGTAGTCTACCCATTTTATGGTTGAAGAAACTGAGGCACAGAGAAGTTAAGTCACTTACCCAAGGGTCAACAAACAGCTAGTGAGTGGCAGAGCCTGGATTTGAATCCAGGTCATCTAACTCAACTTTGCTTTTTAGGAAGCTCTAGGCCTAACTCTTAGTGAAAGTGGGAAGGAAGGGTCCACCCTGCAGAGCAAAATCTACCCTGGCTGTATCCTGTGAGTCTCCAAGGATGCTCTGGGCAGGAGTGGCACCTCCTTGGAAGGTGGGCCAAAGCACCCAGTGTCTCCACCTGCCTGCCACCAGCCGGATCCCCCCCTGGGCCTAGCAACACTCCAAAGGCAGCTCCCCACCCAGGAGAAGCTAGAGTGCAGTGTGCCAGGACAGCTCTGGCCTAGGGCCAGGTTTTGGCTCTGCCAGTCACCGGCCATGGGATGCCAGGCACACCACAGAACCCCTGGGAGCTTCAGTTTCAGACACCTGAGGGCACCTTGTCATAGGGCTGGAGGCATCCATTTCACGTAATACCCCCTGGCCCATAGAAAAACCACCAGATGCATCATCATTTCTGGGCCTAGTTCACCCCATGCCTCAGTCTCCACGAGAAAGATGTGACTGTATGTTCACTCATTCACCTGTTCACTGCAGATCTGAGCACCCCGCTATGCCAGGGACTTGGGTTTGGTCCAGGGATATTATTACCTGCTGGCTACATACAATTCTTGTGTTTTCATGAACACCAAGTAGGCAAGTAGCAAGTGTTAGCCACAGAGGGGCTCCCCTATTGCTACCCCTCCCTCCTCCCTACCCCACACACCCAAACCAAAGCAAGTGTGGGGACGAGCTGCACCAGTGCTTGTGGGTAAGTGTGGGTGTGCGCGAAGAACCCGAAAGTGGGTCAGAATGGTTTCCATAATGGGGGCTTGGGGATGGGAGGGTGGGTCCATCCCTGGCTTCCTGCTCCACCCAGCTTTCTAACTCCTCTCCCACTGGAGTGGCGTCAGCTTGGTGAGGGACTCTTGAGCACCCAGCGGGACTCCAAGCCTGGGAGGAGAGGGAGAGAAGAGCCCTCCTTGCCTGGAGAGGCTGTCATGTGCTCCTCTAGTCTTCCAGCAGTCTGAAGAGGATGGAAAGCCAATCTCCAACCCCCATTCTTCAGAAGATCAGACAGCTACCAGGAGCCCTAGCATAGCCCTGCCCTGCCCTGCGCCCCAAGGGGCCAGGGAGTGCTATGCCCATCTTCCTAGTCAGAAGTCATAAGTAGCTGTCTGACCCTGGGGCAGCCGCCTCTCCTTTCTGGGCCTTGATGTCCCCATTAGTTGAAA